GTTATTCTTATTTCTTGGTGATTTTTTTTTTCCTTTCCCTCCAAGTACCATACTTTCATTGACTTTTACCCTCTTCCCATGGCTGCTTCCATCCTGTTTGGGTTGTTTGCATTTATAATCCTGCAGTACTGTAGACAAGAGCCGGAATGGGGTTCTGAACGAGAGTGATGGCATTGGAAATCTGATACATGAGTGATGTTGCTAAGGTAGAAGTGATAAGACTTAGTGACTGATTGGATATGGGGGTAAAGGAATGGAAGAGTAAGTAAGCCTGGGTAACTGAGAATATAGGCAGCTAAGTGGTGCAGAAGATACAGTCCAGGGCCAGGAGTCAGGAAGACCTGAGTTCAAATCCAGCCTCAGACACTTAATAGCTGTATGACCCCCGGCAAGTCACTTAGCCCTATTTGCCTCAGTTTCCTCATCTGTAAAATGAGCTGGAGAAGAAAATAGCAAACCATGACAGTGTCTTTGCCTAGAAAACCCTAAATGCAGGGCAGCTAGGTTTCACATGCAATGAATAGAGCACCCGCCCTGGAGTCAGGAGGACCTGAGTTCAAATGTGACTTCAGACACTTGACCCTTTCTAGCTGTGTGACTCTGGGCAAGTCACTTAACCCCGATTGCCTCACCAAAAACAAACACAAAAAAAACACAAGAAAACCCCAAATGGGGTTACGAAGAATCAGACACCACTGAAATGACCCAGTAACAAAAAATCATTGGTAGCAAAGACCAGGCAGAAATACCCAGAAGAAAATAATTCCACCTTCCTGCTTGAAAAGAAAATGTACCTTATTTGTTGCCATTCTTATTAGGAAAGGGAAGAGAGTAACATTTATATTATAGCTACTATGTGCCAGGTACTGTGCTAAGCACTTTTTATAAATGTTATCTTACTTGATCCTCACATCCCTGGGAAGTAGGTATTGTTATTATCCCCATTTTACAGACAAGGAAACTGAGGCAAACAGCATTGAAAAGACTTGCCCAGGGTCACACAGCTAGTAAGTGCCTGAGACAGGACTTGAATTCAGATCTACCTGACTCCAGGCCCAACACTCTAACCACTGAAACACCAGCTTCCTCCCCACCTTCCCCAAACCCCTCATCTTTTTTTCTTGCTTCTTCTAACCATTTCTCAATCACCTCAATCAACTCATCATAGTTCTTGAGGTAGAAGAAGCCTCAGTAGTCCAGGCCTCTCTTTTATAAATGAGGAAGCTTAGGTCCAAGGATGCCACAGAAGGATTTGAACACAGCCCCTCCAGCTCCAGAGCTAGCTGGTGCTCTTTCCACAGTACCAGTTGCTTCCTTTTCTAGGGAATCTCTTCTGTTAACTTAGATACCCCTCTCCTAGGTTCAAAGTCTTAAAAAGAAACTCATTGAGAATCAGTAACATAACAAAACCAAAAAGCAATCAAAACCTTGTTATTTTTTAAATCTGTATCAGCATTGGTGAGAACCCCTTTCCTGTTGGAGAAAAATATTCCATTATATCTGTCATGTTCTGTACTTTCAGAATATATTATACTATACATTGATACTGTATCATCCTTTGTCCTTTGATTTGATTCCTAGCATAAGCTGATTCCTGTGTAAAACATTAACGCAATATCTTTATAATAAAATCATATTTAAACATGGTTTTAAGGATGAAATAGAAGGACTTAGGAAACAGCAATGCATGACCCTATTGCATTAATTTTCCCGCACATCTCCAGCTTTGTAATAATGAAATTCAGGGATACGTGCAAACACACAGTGCAACCTTTTGGTGAATTTCAGCATTTCTCCTCTGGGCACAACAGAAACCGCGCTGCAGTATGTGTTAGATTAGAGAAAACTCTCTCATTCAGTCGGAGCTGCAGCTGGTGTTTTGTTTGGTTACTTTGCTCACTGTCTGATCTTTAAATAATATTGAAAAACAGACTTTAAAATAAACCTTGAATAGATGTGACCTTTAGAGAAGCAGTTGCTTCAATAATTAAACTTTCCTTCCTCCCTACACATTGCTTTAATCCTTTAACTTTTTTTTTCTTAATTGGAGAGGTTGTCAGAGAATTCCATACATGTCTTCACTTCTTATACTAGATGATGTACTCATGACCGTATAACCCAAACATAGTGGACTCAGATTTCTCTTAAGTTGATTTTCCTTAGTTCTGGCCCCTACATAATTTGCTTGTGGCCGATCACATGATTCTTCCCTCACTGAGGATTCATTTAATATTCTCACTTCTTTATTGTGCTGTCCGCCCTACAGAAAGTGAAACTGACATGCATGCTGGTGAGCAAGAATTTTAAGGGAAATGTTCCTTTTCTGTTTAAGCTCCCCCCTTTCTCCCGTAACTAGAGAGGAGAGAGAGAGAGAGAGAGAGAGAGAGAGAGAGAGAGAGAGAGAGAGAGAGAGAGAGAGAGAGAGAGAGAGGTTTTTTTATTTGGTTTCTACAAGAGTGTTTTGGTTTTTTAGTCCCCTCCCCTTCAGATTGACTCAAACTTTGCTTTCATTATAAAAAGTATGTACCAAATGGACTGTGAGAGTGGTGGTAATGTTCCAGGGCTGAAATCAAAATGGTTCTGATCACTGAGAGAGGTCTTTCTTCCTTGTTACTTTTTTTCATGAGTGGCTTGAAGAGCACAACGACTCTCAGAAGGTAATGATTTGATGTTTCAGAAATATAAATGGCCATCACTTTGTCACTTCCTGATAGAAATGATAAGTTTTCCACAGACAGGATGACACTTGTTTTCTCCTGCGTCTTAAATTCTCTCGCACTTTTCCACTGTGATCACATAGTTGTTATGGTAACCATAGGAAGGTTTCTCTCTTTCTTTATAGTTCTTTACCTAGAGCAGATTTACTTTGATAAACCCTATAGGATGTTTTTCTACTCACTCTAAGAAACAAGGACAACCAATGTACAAATATTTCTTTGGGTTGTTTTTTTGGGGGTTTTTTTTTGGTTGGTTGGTTTTTGTTTTTTTTCTTCTGAGAGACTTCAGTACAAGGAATTGAGGTTTCTGTAAGTGGTTTCAGTGTAGGAAAAAGATTATGATCAAGCAATTTCACATAGGTGAACTTTGATGGCAGTATTCTTATTAATCAGTTGTAAAAATCCATCGCTACTGTAAGACTTACTAGATTTAATTTAGAGAGGTACAGTAGGGGTTCTCGTACTTCGGGCTCATTACTTTGGTTCTGTTATATTTAGAGTCAGAATTTATTTTCCAGAAGGAAAATGCAGTTCAGTCAGTCTGTGAATTAACTGGTGCTAGTAATATTGTTGATATACCTTATTCTTTTGCTGTTATATTTGGGAGGAGGGATAGTTTGACTGATGCCATCCTTTTCTTTGGCACTTAACCCAAATTGTCCGTTAGGAAGGAAGTCTTCCAGGACACTCTGAGCCCTGGTTTTCCCTGTTAGAGATGGCGCCAGCTGTAATATCTCAAAATGCATTTTATTTTGGCTTGAGACTTTCCAACTCTGAGCACCTTTTAAGCGTAAGAGGAAGGTGATGTGCTTGTTTCCAACATGGAATAGCAGAATTTTTCCTTGAGAAAAAATATGCAGCAAGCTTCATTGATGTTCAGGAATGTTCAGGGGTCCCTTGAGAAGCCACTGAAGTATTTACAAATAAGCACCTTCTAAGGGCAGAATGAGTTTTGGGTTGGTTTGGTTTTGTGGTGGTGGTTGTTTCTTAAGAGGAAAGCTGGGGAGGAATCTGAGAACTCTGAAGTGGGTAGAATGCCCACATGCTTATTAGTGTCAGAGGGGAGCCCCATTCTTGGAGAAAGCCAAGGAAACAAACTGTAATGCAGGATATTTCTGTGTGCCAGGGCTTTCACAGTCCTGAATGTTCCTGTAAGAGGAGTCAAGGAAAGGTGAAACCTATGAGAAAGCATCATGTGAATTTGGTAGGTTTAGCACTAACACCAGTTGGGTTTGGAAGACTTGTTTGTTCTCCGAGTGCTCTGGAGTGTTTAGGCAACAACCAAACTGTCTAGGGGAGACAGGGTTTCAGCGTATGCAGCCAAGAGCAGTGGAGGTGCAAATGCACGTTCAGTGATGTCAGGAGTTACGAGAGAGGGGTTTCAAAAGCTTGCGGTAAACAAGGTCAGAGTGTCCCTTTGTGCTGCGAGGTTTGTTTTGTGAGCTGGGAAGCAGGGCCAGTACATGGGTGAAGTAATTTATCAAAGCAAACAAACTTTGAATTTGTACCTTTAAAAAAAATATATGCTGCTGATTAGCCAAATAAAACCCAGGAAAGCTAATCATTCTTAAGGAGAATTTAGTCTTGCTTTTAGCCACTTGTTATTTTTAAAACGTTGCCCTCCTGCATGTACTTGACCTTCCACTGTTACCTCAAGGAAAATAAAAATACTTCTGCCCTGGAATTCTCACTCATATTTTTAAAAACTAGTGCTTCTCCTTATATACCAAAGCAAATCCTTTGTACCACCTCCACTTAATTTTCTTGATGATTTTGAACCTTGAGAGGCTGTGTGGCACTGTAGCCAGACCGCTGCTGTTTAAGTTAGGAAGATGTGGGTTTAAGGCCACACTGACACATTGTAACTGTGTGACCTTAGGTAAGTCTCATAGTATTCCAGGCACCTTTCTAGAGTTGTTGCCCATCTCTGGGGGTGGAAAGAGTTTCCATTCCAGGAGCTGCGTAGACCAGTAAAGTCACAGGTCCAGAACCTGTCCTTTCCCTCCCTCCCGAAAGGAAACCTTTACTTCAGATCTGTCCAAACATCTCACAAAATTTACTCCTGTCACTTCGAGTTAGTCCATCATGATCCTTTTTTAAAAAACCTGGGCTGTAAGAATGCCGGAGACCGGCTTTGTGGCCTTGAGTCTGAGTTGTCGTCGCATTTCCTACAGACCGTGGTGTGGTGCGTGTGAGGTAATAAGTTGGTACGCTCAGTTGGGTGTGTTTGTAGTAACAATAGCAGCAGTGCCACGTGGCACCCACAGAGGTCATGATGTTGTTCTCAGAGGTAGAGTACAGGCCCTCAAGAGCTTCCCAGACAGAGAGGGAGCTTGGCAACCTTACGAGCTTCACTTGATTGAGGGAGTCACACAGCAAACTGAGGACAGGAAAATGGACCCTCCATAAATTTCCATCTAATAACAGAACTCTCGAGAAAGGCATTTCCCTCATCTCATTTCAGACTGACTCACTGTACTGTGAGACCTCAAGTAAGTTTGGCTTTTTTCAGCTTAAGTTTTTTTTTCTTCTTCTCTCACCATTCTTCCTGCATGTTTTTTATTTGACCTTGCTGACTCAGATATTTAATATCCCCTGTAGATACCAATTTTGTTCCTTCATTGGAAAGTAGATAATAAACACCCTTCTGGGGGCATGAACCTTGTTAAAAAGCCAGTCGTTTCATATGTCCATTCCATCTCATTTCATATCTCTGGCTTTTCAACACCCAGTAGATTTCAGTAAATATTTGAAGCTTTTTTTGGCCAGGGGGGTCGGGGGAGTGGGGAGGGAAGTTCTGACAGCCTTGTGAAGCAGCCAGTGGCACAGGCAGAAGCTTTTCGGTTGCTGACGTCAGAAAAAAAAAATGCTGAACTGTTGAAATGCAAGCATCCAACCTCAGTGACTTAGTTTACCACGAAATTGAAGGTACGCATGTGTGTGAAACAGGTATGAATGCAGAGAACCTTTAGGGTTCAAGGTGGGGGAAGGAGATAGGGGAAGGAGATAGGAGCCGGGAAGAGTGGGCTGTGGCCAGTCATAAAGCCACAGGTCAGTGGACGGGGCGAAAGGCATAAGTTGTGCTATGCTGCTGACAAAAGTCAGATTGAGCGGTCTGTAATGGTGTCAAATATAGAGAGGACCCATTTTGCTACCAAAAATTGAGGTGTTTTTTTTCATTCATATTTGAAGTATATGTACCTTATGGACTTGGAGAAGCTACGTTTGATTACTGCAAAAATTAAAAAGAAAGAATAAGAAAACCTATGAAGGACCATTGAGGGTACAAAAGGCTGAGGTACCCTTTGGTTTGTGGCACCTGGTGCGTGTCTTGACCAAAGAACAAATTACTTTGCTTCCTTCAGATTTCTGTTTTCCCCTCTATAAAATGTGCCTGTCTCATGGAGATTTTGACATGCGATTCATGATAATAAAATACTTCTGAGAATGCAAAGCCAAATAGAAAGGTCAGGGTAATATCCTCACTTAGAAAGTCAGCTGTTGGAACTAGAGAATTTTCTCTCAGATTTGAATTTGAACAATGAAGTTATTACTTTGAGGGAAGTAGTACATCCTCAGTTGGTAGGCTAGAAAACTGAAGTCATTGCTTCTATTTCTAGTTCTAATCCAAATTTGCCATTGGACCCTCTGCAGAGACTTTTGTGAACCTCAGTTAGCTTGCCTGAGCAGCAGAAATATTACAATTTGTCTACTTTCTAATCTCAAAATGGTAGAATAAAGATTGATTAAAGAATTGTGTGTGTGTGTGTGTGTGTGTGTGTGTGTGTGTGTGTACACACACACACATATTAAAGGACTGGTCTCTTCCCATGTGAATAATCTGTGAATCAAAGCTAGTTTTGGGTTCAGTTAGCAAATAAGGTGAAACGCCTATTCATTGAGTAGCACTTTGTTGTGTTCTTTAATTTTTCCACAATTAAATTTATGGAGATTTTGATGAAAGAACAATTTAAAGCAAGAATGGCTTAATTCAATATTTACAGACTCTTCCTCGTGGTGGAGTGTTGTGAACTAGAACTATGCCATCTCTGAGCTACCCTTCCTAATTAAAGGTGAAGGTGGCAGCCATCTGCCTCCTTTCATTCCATTCAGCAGGGGTCCTGAGTGGAAGGAAGCATCCCCTCTTTCCTTTCCTTTTTATAGCCGGCTTTTTCCCTAGTCACTGACCCAGAAGATTATTGATGATCTCTCTCCAAATGGATGGTAACACAAGCGTGCCTGACACTAGGGGGAAAAATTTACAGCAAGCATTTTTCCAGTTAGTATTGGGTATGAATGGTTATCTGAGGGTATTGTAATCCCTCCAGCAGTTGTTCCCACCATCGTTTCTGCCCATTTTGTCTCTGAGGAGGACCATAGACATGAAAACACACTTCTGCATACATGCTTTTACATTCCTTTGGGTCATAATCATGAGATGGCAGCATGTGGCCACCATTCGGGATGTATAGGAATGTTGTTCTTATTAAGCACAAAGACACCTGTTAATTATGACATGAGTTTTTGGCATCTCAGGAAAAAAACAAAGTGAACCAGGGCATTTAGCTGGTGGTGTCCAAGTCATCCTGTGGTTTGCTGAGGCCTCTTGCACAAATCATTGAAATGATTCACATTGTTCATTTCTTAGTTAAACAATGAGCCTTTCAGTTCCTTTCCCATGAAAGCAGGTTACAAGAACAATTAGCTACTTTCGGGTCATGGCCTAATTTCTTTAGAAATGTAGGGTATGGGCTACTGTTCTTGAACTTAGTACTGATTTCTACTTTCTTGCCTCAGTTTCCCCTTTAAATGTCTGCTCAGTACTAGTTTTAGAAGATTTAAAGAGCTTGTGTAGTATGTGAATATTTCAGTTTTCCCCCCTAATCTTTGGTGATTAGGTTAGATAAGGGAGGGTCTACATATTCTTAATTTAAACCAAAAATTTCTGAATACATATAGTAATTCTCATTTTCTAAGTGCATCAGAAAAACCACTAGTACTGATATAAATATGTTTCAGGCCTTATTCAAGGACATTTGCTTTTTTAGAGCATACTGGTTAATTTTAGAGTGCTTGTTATCTCTTAACATTGCTTAAAGTTGAGTATACATGTGAGCGACTCCAGATGTGGGAGTGATGTTGATTTCTAACTGTGTTTTATTTTTTATGGTTTTCTCAAGTTCATTTCACCTTTAAGATATAAATGGTCTTAAATTGTTGTGATCCTCAAAAAAACAAGAACAGTACATGAACTCTACTCTGCGACTTCCACAGTCTGAGCCCACTTTTTAATTACTAGACAGTGGAAAGTAGTAGATATCCATATACCTTGCTGCTTTATTATTTCTCAGGTTACATATATGGACATTCAACTAGATAGTTGGCTAGTTGTCCTTTTTAGTTATGCAGAATTCATTTTTAGAGGTTTAATATGTAAAATGAGACACATTTATCCATATCTGACCATAAAGTAATATTGACAGAATTTTTAACAAGCATACCAGAATCTAGACATCCAGATGAATACTGCCTTCTTTAAGCATGGAAGAAAGATACTCATTTAAAAAATAAAAAACATTCTTTCAGCTCTTCCTTTGGAATTCCTTTCAGAGTTAATTCCTTGAAGAAAGTTTATTTGATTTTTGGAAACAGTTAAGACATTCAAGGCTAAGTCAAATGAATAAAATATTGTCAAAGTAGAGTGATATTCTTTTTTTGTGAAGCAAATACAGAATGACTATAAATGAATGAAATTTTGCTTGTCACATAATTTCAGAAATTGGACAGATGTTAGAGATCATTTAACCCAACTTATTCATTTTACTGATTAGGAAACTGAGGCCCAGAAATTCACCTAACCATCATTTAGCCTTGTTGCAACTGAGATCTAAGAGTGTCATCATCTCCCTTTCTTTACTTTCTGTCTCTGAGGGTACCAGAGACATAAGAAGTTGTTTCTACGACTTTCCCTTCTTTGTTCATGTATTTATATTCTATTTGGGATATAATGAGGTGATAACCTCAAAATGACTTGGCTCTTAGAATTAGAAGGGACAATCATTTAATCTAATTCAGTCATTTTAGGCCTGAGGAAGCTCAGAAGGGCTTTATGTGATTTTTATATTGACCTCTTTGGGCCTCATTTTTTTTTCATCTGTTGACTCATACATACATACTCATACATGCTCATTAGATCAGAAAAACCCTTTCCCCCTCAAAAAATTGATGATTCTTCGTCAGTTGGAGCCACATAAGAAAACTTATGCATTTGCAGCTATTTTCCATTTTGGACAGAAAACAGGAAAAAATAGCAATTTCAAAAGAGTTCCAAAAATGTTTTGAGTAGTGGCAATATTGTTAGAATAAATTATGGTCTCCCAAGATGAATATACAGCGCGTATCCATGAATACACACGCACATGCACACGCACACGTACACACATATGTTCTTCCATGTTTGTTTACAAATCAGTCTTATATGTGTGCGTACGTGTGTGTGTATACACTTGTAAAAAAAAAATGAAACCTCAAGTTTCCCTTTGTTCTCTCTAGGTTGCAAGGGCTCTTAAGAATAGAATTATTATACTGTAGTCAGCACTTTATGCTGCTTATAAATCAAAGTTTGTGCTAGTTAACTACAAAAAATAGACCCTGGAATACACCATGGTTGAATAGCTTGAAACTGTGCAACTGACACTACTTTTTTTCTAGTATCCAATGACACCATAAGTCAAAAAGCTTATTCCCCTCACCTCCCCATATCCTCCTAGTGTATTGTTAACTGAAGCAGTATACATTTCATGTTTAAGGATCCATATGTTAAAAGGATCAGCCTCAACTACCTTCCAGACTGCTTCCATTTCCTTTTTTTTTTTTTAAAGAAACTCAGAATTCACCGGTAAAATAATGTCTTTGTCACCTGTATTTCTGGTTGCTAGGTATAAGTTTTCATCTCAAGAAGAGAAGCTACAGTATCAGTACCTTGGCCAAAGAATAGTAAGTAACTCATAGCCTTCAGAAAACTAGGAAGATAATTATCTGGAACGTGTGTGTCTCTACCAAGGTAGTCAGCTATGAATAGCTGTCCTAGCTTCTGAGCATTCTTGGCTAGGGGACTGGAGTGGTAGAATTAGACATTTTACTTTACAAATGTCAAAGTAACAACAGGAGAAAACTGAAGAGCCAACATTAGACCCCAAATCTCTGTCTCTGTCTCTGTCCTCTATATCACTGTGCTCTTGTACCATTTAGTTAATGGCCTGACTTGACTGTCCCCAAGAGCTCTTGGCAGGGATAGTAATAAAGCCAGAGGTGGCATTAAAAGGATATTCTGAATGAGACTCTTGAACTCGTTCCTTTGGAGGACTTGGCCTAAATTAATTTGGTGGGACTATTTTAAATAAGGTGATTTTTGAGAGGCTGCCCACCCAGTTATATTTGCATGTCACCTCTGTGAAAAACAAAAAATCATTCCTGTTTCAGCAGCAGTGTGTGGGATCACCTGCTGAGTTATATTTTTAGAGACTTGACTTTCCTGTACAGCGGCAGTGACGCAAGTCATTATCAGTATTTGTATAAGATAATACTGTAGTGTGATCAAGCAATGATTTGGGCAAGTGCTTCCTCTGTCAAACTATAGCTCTTATGTATCCCTGTCATTTGGGGGAACAGCTATTTGGATAGCCAACTTCCTTGTGTTCACGTTTTCCCTCTCCAACTAAAATCCTTGGATCGGCTCCCTCAGTTTTCCAGGATCCTTCCCAAGTGTGGCAGGAGAAGGAGAGAATAGAAGGACAAGGCTGAAATGAAACTATGACTGATGTATCTCCAACTTGGCTTTTTCTTCATCCTTCTTTGTAGTATAAGGGCATCCCTGCATTCCTGCTTCTGAAGAGATGAGAGTAGATCTGCATGAGCTTACATGTTGAATTGCATGTCTCCTGTCAGTAGCCCAAAAAAACTCCAGGTGTAATCATGTACACACCTGCCATTAGCAGCGTTCTGGACAGAGCACTTTATGTAATGCTTACTGCAAATGGGCTGGGGAGGTTAAGTCAGGGCTTTTAAAGTAGTAACCTCTCGTCCCCCTCCCCTTAGCCAACATCCAGACTCACACAGAACAGGTCTAACCTTAGGAGTGGCCTTAAAAGATAACTCGTTTGGGGTGGTATTGCTACTACTCAGAGTTTGCTCTGATAAAATATACCAATAGGGCCTGTATCCAGGTTTCCACAAATGTGGGTCAAAGAGATCCCTAGCTCCCATTCAAGCTTAAGGTAGTAAATGCAGTTATTGAATACGGGATAGTATTTATTTTACCCCACAGAAAATGCAGATTACACACAGAACTCAAGAAATCCATAAACAAAGATAGAAACAACATTAAAGGACTTTACAGGAACCTATGGACAGTGCAGTTCTCCTTCCTGTCCAGTGGGTCCTATCTTCTAACAGATTCCTCCACATACTCATACCCCCCCCACACACCCTCTTGTAGTGGTGTGGTATGAATTCCTCTTGGAAGGAAAATATACTTTGTAGCTACAGGACAGGTGATATCCTTCCTGTAAGACCTGCACTGTGCAAATAGCTTACTCTAATGGAGAAGTACAAAGTCTATGTCATGTGTTCTTCCATATTATGTCTTTAATCCCTTGCTGCTGCTGTAGCTTCTGGAGTCTCTGTGAAGATCCTCTTTTTCCAAAAGGCATTCTGCTCAGGAAATTACCCTTCTCTAGCTAGAAGGAGAAATTCCAGGATCACACTCTCCGGATAAGTCCCTATTTCTGCCTAGTGGGCCAGATCCCTGGCCTCACCTCTCGGTCAGATAAGTGAGCTATGCCTCCTGTTGCCGCATTCCTCCCATGCTGACATAAATGACTTCGGTTTGGGGTGTAATCCCTCTCACACACTTGCTTTACTTTCAGGAGCTCCCTAGAAGAAAAGCAAATGGAAAATAGCAGGAGAGAAGGAAATGGGATGGGATACAACCTTGAGTCCCAGAGGAAGATTCCTTTTAGACCAGAGTAAAGGAGTACTCCACATGTCTATATTCTCAAGAGTCTGACCTAACCTTTATTTCATCTTGGGAGTAGCCTCAATCACTGAAGCCCACCCTGCAGAAGGCTGACTAACACCAAGGGAAGTATCTATTCCCTCTAATCAAAAGTTCTAAACAAAGCTTCACACTTGCTGTGGATCTTCAGGGTGATCAGAGAACAATGCCGGATTAACTCCTTACATAAAGAATTGCCAAATTGTATTTCTTTCTGACTTCCTAAGGTTCTTTGCCTCTTCCATTGAATCAAAATGGCATTAAAACCCTTAGGTTAGCCTTGGTTCTGGATCTATTTTTTATTTATTTTCTCACACCACCGTCTTTGTTGCCTATGGTCAAAAACAAAAATCTTTTTTGCTGTTAAATCAGCATTAAATCCAGTCACTTTACTTCTTAAGTAAGCATTTTGAGTGTAGAGTCCATTGAGCATCCGTACTTAATAATAAATTTTGATTAGTCAGACCAAAAGTAGAAAAGCTTGCAGAATTCGTTTAGATTGTGTCTCCGGTATAAGAAAGCAGTGTTGTAATTAATTGGTCAAGGAGGAGGAGGATGATGGTTCCTGCAAACCAAGAATACTCAGTGTGAATGTTCTCTGTGTGGCCTAGGGCAGAGAACAGATTGCTTGGCAGCTCGATAGACCATATAAAGAATACATGATCTATGTGTGTTAAAAATTGCAGAGTCAAATACAGCCCTTGTTTTACCTTTTTTTTAATGTCAGAAATTTTGAAAGATTTCATTCTGCAATTAACAATTCCATAGCTGCCTTCTGAGCAAGTCAGAGAATTTAAATCCTAACCAAATGCACGGCAGGAAACAGATCTTCCTGTTAGCTTTGGAAAGTAAGCCAGGTAGAGCACAGGTCATTATTGGAAACAACCATTCAGGTTATCAAACAAATGGGGACAGGGAAGAAAGGAATTCTTATTTTCATCATAGTCCCTTTAAATTATAGCTACTAGGTACTATTACAACATAGGGAACATGTATTAGAAAAGAACACATAGTATTTGCCCTCTTCCAGCTCCTATTATAAAACTATGTTGCGCTGACTACAGATAGAGGAATGCAGGCGAACAGGTAGGTGAGCAGGCAGGCTGGTAAGCGGGGCAGAACTTCAGAGACAGCCATAGAGAGGACACAGAAGAAAAGCATTTTCCTGGCTTGTTAACTCATAGGAATTAAGCTGGAAGGGACCCTAGAAGTGATCTAGTCTAACTCCTACATTTTACTGGTGAGAAAACTGAGCTTCTGAGAGCTTTAGTGATTGAACAAAGTCGCAAGGTGGACGTGTCCAAGAGAATGTGAACGTAGGTCCTCTGGCTCAAGACTGCTCTTTAGGTCGTACTGGAAAAATACACTGCTCCTCGCCCAGCTGTTAAATGTCCATCTTCTCTACTTGCCATCTATTTAACCATCTTATGTTCATCTAGATTCATATCTCAGACAGATAAAAGGATAGTTAGGCCTGGATAGGGATGGACATATATGTGTATGTGCACACGTATGTACAGGTTGTCTAACCCTGTAGAATGTGAGTTCCTTCACAGCAGGGATTGTTTCATCCTTTTGTCTCCATATTCTTAGCACCAAGCACAGTGCCTGGCACGTAGTGGTGCATAATGAATGCTTATTGATTGATGAGATTGTAATTTATTGAAGTTTTCTGTAAGATCTTAATCTTCATTTTATATATTTATTATTTATTTTAAGTTATTAAGTTTGTAATAAAAGCTTTAAATAAAGCTATGATTTGAACAGCTGAAAAGCTCTGCCTTTGAATGGTGGATTGTATGGACTTGGAATCAGTAAGTTGTTGTTGTTCAGTCTTGTCCTAATCCTTGTGCCCCCATTTAGGTCACATTTTCTTGGCAAAGATACTGGAGTAGTTTGCCATTTCCTTCTCCAGATTATATTACAGATGAAGAAACTGAGGCAAACAGGGTTATGTGATTTGCCTACGGTCCCCCACAGCTAGTAGGAGCTGAGGCTGAAATTTGAGCTCAGGAAGATGAGTCTTCCTGACTCCAGGCTCAGTGCTCTATCTACTGTACCACCTAGCTGCCCAGAATCAGGAAGACTTGTGTTCATATCCCACTGCAGACATTTAGTGGTCTTTTCCTCACACTAGCAATTGTAGTTATATATAACCATTTCTTTACATCAGCTCTCTGAGGTATTTACTGCATTTTATAGACAAGAAAACTGAGGCCATGAGAGAAGTGAAATCAGGACTATGTAACTAAGAAGTCTCAAAGCCAAGATCCAGCCCTGGGCAAGTCCTATCCCTGGGCCTCAGTTTCCTAAGTGAGGGGGTTAGGTGAGATGGCCTCTGGGGTCTTTTCCATCAGCAGATCGTAATCCTATGATTTGTCCTTGATCTTCATGAACTCAAAATGGGAGCTTGAGGTAAATTCCACCCCTATAATTATCTAGAAAATTAGTCTGTTTTGGAAGAACAGAAAGAAAATTTGGTTTTGAAATTCAATTAAAAGTGAAAATTAACTGTAGTACTTTATATGTCAGCAGATTCAACAAATGTTTATTAAGTAACTACAGTATATAGAGTAATATAATCAGTGTTGGTGAGGCTAGATACAAAATGTAAATTAACACATGATCCCTACTTCATGGAGCTTCTAGTTTAGTAGAGGAATGACTATGAAGCAAACAATCTTCATGTGGAATAATATATAAGTCAACAGAGTGGCAAAATTTAAAGTGATTGCTGGGTTTCAAGGGGAAAAGGTCTCTACACATTAGGAAAGTCTTCATGGAGGAAATGGTATTGGAGTTAGGCTTTATAAAGGCACGGTAGGAATTAAAATACGTCAAATAAAATACTTAGGATTACAAAGTAAAGTAGTTAGGTGGAAATAGTTATAATTTTTTTTTTAAAGTTCACAGGCCTAAGTGAAGAATGCCAGCCTTAGAGAGAAACTTCAGTAGAGCAGCAGAGGCAGACTCTCGGTTTCAGAGACTCGAGACAGGGCAGTGGTGAAAAAAGGAAGCCTCGTCTGAGGAAGACTACTCAGGAAGTTCAGTAGGGAAGGGTAGGGCAGGGGAGGGGGGACTCCAGTGGGGCAGAAGGGTTAAAGAAAAGGCTTTTAAAAAAATTATGGAGGATAGCTAGGGATCTCGGTAGGCAGATGAGGAGGAGCCATTGGGCAGGGAGAATTCTTCAGAATATTTTGAAAACTGACTTGAAAGGACAACTCTTGATTAGATCAGTTTTGGAAGAGAAAGTGATCTCACACAGTGTTTGCTGGCCAGCATGTCTCAGTCATGACAGAAAGTGGTGCTGCTTATTGTTATCCCCTCATTCCGTTCTCTGCCAAACCCAATGACTTCTGTTCTAACATGTGGCGACTTCTTCCTTAGAGACCCAGCTCTTTCCAAGTTGCCACAACATTCCAAACTAGATGCAAAACCGTCTATTCCCCTCGGCCTTTGCCAAAGCTGAGTCAACCAACCAAGAGTCTCACTGTCTTAGTATTTACTTCCTAGCCATTCATTTCAATCCAGCACTCATATATATAGAAGAGGCAGAAAATACACAAGATGTCATCTTAGGGGGTGTTTCTTGTCTGTGTTGAAACATGAATAATGGGTAAGATGATATTCCTACCAAACTTTTGAGTTGAATTTAGACTTCTTGTACCGAAAGGTTTAATATTTAGGTTAAACATTGTAACTTCACAGGTGGTGGAAGAAATTCTGGAAAGAAGAAAACAGTCACTGGAACCCAGCTAGAATCAACTAAGAGAAGAGATGTGAATAATACAAATTAACAGGTAAGGCAAAAAAATAATTCTACAGTTTTTGACTTTGGAATTACAAGCAGCACCTACACGTTCATTCTTAACATGAATATACATTTCTTTGGCTGGCTCTCCCTCACCTCATGGTTTGATCCTACTCTCCACATCCTGAGACCTGACGAGGACAAGAGGAGATGGCCACTTGTAGATATTCAACAGTTTTGATTCACTTGTTTTGTTTTTATCTTTAACAATTGTTTAACAAGGGGGGAGAAAAGTAAATGAATGGTTTTTTTCTGCTCAATAGAAGAGGCAGAAAATTGCCTGAACTGACAACTTTTTCTTGATTTGTTAAGTGACTACATCTGGAGCTCACTTTGATACTCTAGATTAGATCCCTCATATTTTCAAAGAGATGGGTCATTTCTTCCTTTGTTCTTTGGAAGTGTGCTGTTTTTGTTAAGTCGTTTCAATCATGTCCAACTCTGTTAGCCCATTTGGGGTTTTCTTGGCGAAGATACTGGAGTGGTTTGCATTTCCTTCTCCAGCTCATTTTACAGATGAGGAAACCGAGGCAAACAGGGTAACACAGCTATTAAGTGTCTGGAGGCCAAATTTGAACCTAAGACTTACTGACTCTACGCCGGGCACTTTAACCACTCTGCCACCTAGCTGCTCTTTGAAGTTTGCTACCTTCTGCTTAAAGAAAAAATTGTTTTTATAGAGTGGTGTTGCCATTGCTTTTACAAAAACAGGTACACTTTCATTTCAGTGAATGCAATTATAATGTCTAATTTAGGGGGGTTGATTGTTTGTTGGGTCCAGATTTGTGATTTTATTAGAAACTCCCGTTGTAGAAACTGCATCTGCCAATGCATATCACCATCTTGTCTATAACTTAACACCTTAGAAATTATTTCCATGTTTCTGTTGATGTTACTAACCAACAGTATTTTGCTAAAGTGAATACAGACATGGAACTAAACAGGATATAGAGTCCTGCAAAAGAACACATAGCTTAAAATTGTTTAACTAGCACCATGAAGTCGTGGGAAGTTAGGGAATAGAGATCTGTAACCGAGATTTGATAAACTTACTTCATGAAAGTATATTTAAACAGAAAATGTTGTAGTAGAATTAATGGCCAGTGGCTGACCTACCATGTAACTGTGAAATGAAATGCTGTGTAAGTGAAACAGCTTACGTAGGTGTATACATTACATATGTGATGTCAGATCTCATCTGTGTATGTATACATGCAATATATGCATATATGTTAAACTGTGGCATGTATGTAAATCCATATAACTTAAACTCACTAAGCTGTAAAGTTAATTCTACTTGAAGCACAGATGATAATAACTCACATTTAGATAGTGCTTTAAATCTTATAAAGAACTTTTGCCACATCTCTTAGGTAGATAATGCATTTTACAGATACGGAAATTGAGACTGATAAAAGGACCAAATGACTTATCCAGGTCAACACAGGTATCAAGAGTCAAAATTGGAACCCAGGTATCCCAGTCACATATATTCACATATCTTTCAATGATGTTAATGATGATATCTGCTAGAATTTACACGTAGTAATTTAATTAAACTTTTTTTCAACCTGGACCATAATTTTATTAGTTGTGCGGCACTCCAGGTGAAGAAACACTCTCTTCAATGGGCCACTGTTATCCAGCTTTCAGTCATTTTAAAAAAACAAACTTTTTTTGGAAATGATTAGCTCAGGGTCATACTTCCTGTATAATACAGAAGTGGGACTTGAACCTAGGTCTTCCTGACTCTAAGACTAACTCTATCAATTATGTGTGCTGCCTCTCACAATAATTTTGGAATACTTGAAAAATGTTTTATATATATATATATATATATATATATATATATATATAATATATATACGTAGATATCTGTATACATATTTCCACATATATATAGAGAGACAACTGTATGTATAAATGTATACAAATATGCATATCTATCTGTATATATGTGTGTACATATGTATAAAACATTATTGAAGTACTCCAAAATTATTGTGTGTATATATTGTATATATGTATGTATGTATGTGTATATACACACACAGATATCTATGTATACATACATACATACATACATACATACACCTTATATAAGTAGTCCCTGTATGACATATAATATATAGGAATACTTATATAATGTGTATAGGTGTGTATTCAGTTTTCCTCAGTGATAGAAGCTCAGGGACAGAAGCAGATACTGTGCCTCCAAGGGAGAGGGTACAGTGGTGGGGGTGAGGAGTAAAAGAGGAGATAATACCTTTCTAGAGAGAGAACAGTAGAGTAGCGAACATAACCCAAATACAGGGAGGAGACTTGGACCAGACCATTGCAAGTGGAGGCTCAGAGCCAGAATGGACTGAATTCCCTGAAGAGACATCTGTTCGTCCATATGTAGCCCCCTCCTCAGGAGAAGATCTCTACTTTTAAGGGAAAACCCAGACACAAGCACAAACCTCAGTGTTACTTATTGAAACTCTTAGATTAAACAAAGCCCAAGTGAGTCTGTAGTTATGGTTCTGGGCCATGTCTTAACATGCACTTCTGTGTGGGCATGTGTGTATACATATATATGTTTTATATTTTTGGGTATTTTACTGTTTCTTTGCATATTTTCTAAAATTATAGCATGTTAAAGCCATAAGAGGACTTCTTGTTGTTATTTCCAGTCATGTCTGACTCTTTGTGACCCTATTTGGTGTTGGGGGTTTTTTTGGTTGTTTGGGGGTTTTTTTGGCAGAGATAGTAGAGAAGTTTGCCATTTCTTTCTCCAGCTCATTTTACAGATGAGGAAACTGAGGCAAGCAGGGTTAAGTGACTTACCCAGGGTCACACAGCTAGTAAGTGTCTGAGGTTATATTTGAACTTGGGGAAAAGCAATCTTCCTAACTCCAGGCCCAGCACTTTATCCACTGTGCCACCTAGCTGCCCATTTGTTAAATTAGTAAATGAATTAACGCATTTAATATCTCATGCTTCTCTTGAAAGATAAGCACTGGTATATTTATGATTCCTTATTATATAGTAATAGTAGCTGATATTTATGTAGTGTTTTGTATACATTATCTCATGGATGTGTGAAGAAATCATCACAGAAAAATGTATCAGCTTTAAAATGTTTACTTTCCATTCCCTCAACCCTGAAGTTGTCTTCTTCTGCCCTTGCCTAGAAATTGGGTGAAGCTGTTATTTCATCTAGTTTATCTCTTCCATGGCCAGTATCATTTTTAGCTACCACAACCTGAGCACCATGAACACAAATAACCTTTAGGTCTACTGGGGGTTGGGAGCCAGGACAGAGAACCTCAGTTGTAGGTTATAAGATTAAATAAGGAAAACCAATGAATTGAGTCCACCAGTATCTGTCATTCCCCATTCCAACAGCATAAAGGGGAAAATGGTAATGGTAACTACACAGCATCTCCTTTGGTACATAGTGGATTCAGTGTCCTCCTATGTAAAATGAGGGGATTATATCATCATGTGACATATTACCCTATATATTCTATAGATACGTATTCACAACTTGATATACTGTTATCCATATGTTATATAGTTGTGATTTCCTGTTGATTATTACATGTAGCACTGCTCTGAGGCAAATCTTTCAGTGCATTCGTTGGACTATGAAAACAGATCAAGAAAGCTGTACACTTGTGTGGCCTATGAAGCAAGGGTGAAAGAGTGTTCAGGCAGAACGTGACAAAGACTCTTTTCTTGACCTGGAACATCCCTCAAAGTCTAGAAGAGTATTCTCTCCCAGTCCCCTTCATCTGGAAGGATCCCAAGGAACACTCTTCAGTCTTGATTATAAGTTAGATTTACAAAAGCCAGGAGAATTCCTCCCTTTCGGGACCACTATTGGTTTCACAATCACCTGGTTGTCCTTACTGAAAGTCACCCAGCCATGGAGTTCTCCTCTCTGCCACACTAGGGAGATGGCAGGAGTAGCTTTATCGTTGTTGCTGTTGTTCCACCGTATCTGAATCTCCAAGACCCCATTCAGGGTTTTCTTGGCAAAGATACTGGAGTGCTCTGCCATTTCCTTCTCCTGCTCATTTTACAGATGATAAACTGAGATAAACATGGTGAAGTGACTTGCCCAGGGTCACACAGCTAGTAAGTGTCTGAGGCTAGATTTGAACTCGGGAAGATGTAAGCCCAGTATTCTTTCTATCCACTGCACTACCTAGCTGCCGGTACTCTCATTACCAGGGAAATAAGCTGAGATCAATGCTGTCAGTTCTTTGAGTACTGAAAGTGATTAAAAAAAAAACACCACTTCTTGTTGCATGCCTAGTTATTTCAGCATATCACCCAACTATATGGGGCAGTTAAATCTAATAGAAACTTGCCATGAGCAAGTCAGGGGTAACATGACCAAGCTCTAGTCCTGTGGGTCATTTGAGTTGTGTTAATTTTTTGAGGAAGCTGGGTCCTGCTGACCCTCCCAGGGCTTTTTTCAGGGGAACTGTGCCAAGAACTTAGAGGGATCTCTCTCTTTAGGTTTCACAGACTAAAGACTTTTTAGTTTAACTGAACCTTTTACACAGTGCTGAGAATGATCTCTCTAGACCCACAGGACACTCACTCCCCACCCATCTACTCACCCCATCAATTGCCAGGGAACTGTGTTTATTTGACTATGGCAGGGTGGTTGCTTAATTCTATAGCAAGATTAAATTATCTCAAGTCATTTATTGAATGACTCAGTAAGTCATATGTGGATTGGAGACTAGAACCCAGATTTCCTGACCCCTCCTTGAGTTATTTTTTCACTGCCTCCCAAATGTCACATTTGCTTTGTGTTAATAAAGCATATTTCATCAGGGAAGCTGGCAGTAGTTTTATATGCTCAATTTTACTGCAACAATGATCAAAATTCCTTTTTATAAGCAAGCAAATCAAAGTGCAGAAAGAAAAAAATGACTCACTTGAGGGCTTTGTGGAATTGGGAGTATATCCCGGGGGGTCACAGCTACT